ATTGCATGCGTCTATAGGTTATAGTGGCCGCTTACCATAAGTGTCGCCGCGCACGGGCCTCACGCCACAGCCACAAACGCCGCCACGAGAAGCTAGAAGCGGCTACTAAAGTGGCTGAAGCACGCGACAGCGGCCGACTAAGGTAAGTGTCGCCGCACACGGGCCACCGACCACAACCACAAAACGCCGCCACCGGCATATTTCTTGTAGTTTTCATACATTTTATATGGACTCGCCACATACGGTACGCCAGTGGCCGCCACACGCTGCAAATCGTCGTTGCTCGCTTCTTATGGCCCGCACCGGCCACTTAATGCGCCGATACAAAACGCCGCCACACGTCACTCACGCGATTCCCCACCCCTCTCTCCCTTACCTTAGTCCGCCGCTGTCGCGCGCTTCAGCCACTTTAGTAGCCGCTTCTAGCTTCTCGGGGCGGCGTTTGTGGCTGTGGCGTGTGGCCCGTGTGCGGCGACACTAAGGGAGAGAGGGGTGGGGAATCGCGCGAGTGACGTATGGCGGCGTTTGGTATCGGCGTAACGACGATTCGTAGCGTGTGGCGGCCACCAGCGTACCGTGTGTGGCGAGTCCATATAAAATGTATGAAAACTACAAGAAATATGCCAGTTACGACGTTTTGTGGTTGTGGTCGGTGGCCCGTGTGCGGCGATACTAAGGCGGGCCATATGCTTATTTGCCACCCTTTTAACAAAAAAAGAGTCTCCTAAACGTTTCTGTACATTGAGAAGCTTATGACACAAGGGTTCTCTTAGATATTATAAACATTTTCTACGTAAAGCACTTGGATTTGGATGTTCGGTACAAAGTGGCAACTGGATCACACAGGATTATCCAGATGTCGCTAATGCTGTGTTTCGCTCAGAGGTCTGAAAAGATTACTATTTTATACCTGTCTGTTGATTTATGCTACAGCGAATAATGTTCACCTTATTTCCGGCGTGTACGATGTGACCTGATAAAACTTTGCTTGTAACTGTTTTGCGTTGCTAATCCACTTTGTCGGGTTTGTTGTTCGTTGAGTTTCTTTTATTTTGACATGAGTTAGCAGATTTTCTCGCTTCGTGTGATTGTCATGTATTGTGTATTCTGCTGTAATATAAGTCCAAAGTCATCATTATCCCCATCTTATTCGAAAAATATATTAAATGTCAAAGTTATAACCACTTTGTATGTTTGTTACTGAATCATTCGTAATCGAAGCGGAATTTGGCACACCAATTAGTTCATTACCTGGATTGAGACATACTTTATATCCCCGAATTATTAGATTTCAGAAAAAAATTAAGTAAGAAAAAAGTATTGTTATTTTTGTTTATCAGTCATACATACATACGAAAATGTTTGTGTGATAAATACGAACATTTGTACCTTAGTCATGGATATTTATTATGTATTTCTAAATAAAAGAAAATACTTATTATAAGTAATCTATTCGTTACCCTACAATTCCATAACACAAGCCTGAGAGTGCTTACTTTGGGGCTAGGCAAATTAGTGAGTTTGAAAAAACTGTTGCTATAATTCACTAGAAGTATTAAAAACCGACCAAGGATGAGTTGAACTCGCACATCAAGGGTTCCGTGCCATTTACCTTTACAACATTTGGCACAAAATTATAATATCGAGCAAAAACGCCAAATAAAAGTCTGTTGTATGGGAGTGCCTCTTAAATATTCATTTTATTTTAATATCATTATTTATTTTTAAAGTGAACATATAATTTAATATTCTGTGAATTTTTCAAGCGTGTACCAGTTGCAGTTATCAATGTAGAGTAAAAATGGCTAATATTTATTTTATTCTATTATATAGCGGCAACATAATCTGTTAAAATTTTTAACTGTCTAGCGGTTCACGAGATACAGCCTAGTGACAAACAGATAGACAGACAGTGTAGTATTAGTAATAGTATTCCGTTTTTATCCTTTGGGTACGGAACCCTAAAAAGTACTAGAACTAAAAAACTAAAAACTTCAGAATATAAAATAATAAAAAAAAGTTATTTTCTACACTAAGAGTAAAAATATTCATGCCAAACGATGTCGCGAACAGAATCTAGTGCAAAACATTATTGCAACCAAACTTCTAAATTTCCTTTGCGATTCTGAAAAATCCCTTCCCAGCCCCCGAAGTAATATAACGCGCTAGGTATTTGAATTCGTAGCATCTGTTCAATTTTCCTTGCCCCACTCGATCCTATTTGGACCTGAAATAGGCCTGCCGTTTGCGACGAAATAAGACCCTTTTGTAAATTTCCTTTTTTAAACGTTTTCCTAGGTATTTATTTACTGAAGTTTGTGTAATGATGGTCGTTTCAGTTTGGAGCATTGTGCTGGGTTTGTGATTTTAAACTAATCATTATGTTTTTTTTTCAAAATGAACTTCCGTAAAGTTTGAACTCCATTTTTAGATCATTTTTAATTTTGTTACGGGGTCTATCTCAAAATCGAAAAAAATCTAATTTGAACTAGTTACAAATATGAAGTTATGGTGTGTGATGTCCCATTATGCTGTATTTCAACAACAAATACTGAAAACGACAACGACTGATTCAGAATGTTACTTTGTAAGTTGTGACGCAAAGCAAACAAATTATTTTTCCTTAGGTGGTTTTTTGCGATGCCTGGTTGGAAAGCGAACTATTTCATGAGTCAGTAATATTAGGTAGCTTCAATAACAGGTTAATATGGTAAGAAAAAATGTTGCCTTCATAAAAAAAACTGATTTCTACGGAACCCTTATAGAGCAAGGCCAGACTCGCACTTAACCAGGTTTTTTGTTTATTTATGTTTACATTTTGCTAAATTTTTTTTGAGACTTACTTAGTTTTCATTCTGTCGGCACCGCTATCCTTCCTTATGTGTATTTGTATTTTAAACGGAACGTTGTAGACATTCTCTGCTTCCAAACGAACATTTTCTTAATGTTCTGATCCTATTAATGCCAGTAAAGGTAAAATAGAAATAAATCATTCAACCCTTAAAATATAATCTGGGGCGGTATCTTCAAAGGGTAGGGGTACGGCTCTGAAATATAGCGTTTTGGTTTCCTTGACATAAATTTCAAATTTTTATTTTTTCATTTAATTTTATATTTAAATCGATGCCCCGAAAGCTACATGTAAATACCTGAATGTGATAGTACACTGAGGTATTTACAGATAAAACTCATCTTTCGTAAGGTCTGCAAGGCAGATTAAAAAGTGGTCGCTTTTCCCCAACTACACTTATTGAAACGAACTTTCCTATGGCACGGTACGGACTTGGCTGATGGGTGCTAGACGAAAAAAGTGTAAGAATTTTCCATCACGATTTCCCGTCATGATCGCCAGCTGTTTCGCAGCGTATTGTATGTAGTTGTGTACTTTGTTAATTTTTAACTTCGTTCCAACGGAGTGTTCCACGACATTCACGTTTCCTTTTTTAACTGTTTAGTTAAAACCACACTTAATTCAAAATACTTTTGATAGTTCTTGGTCTGATGATTCTTTGACTGCTTAACTAAAAATATTAAAAGCATTGCTGCCAACTGTCTTCGATAAATAGAATTTATTTTTCGAACTCTTCTATAATATTTATTCTAAACACAGCTGTGTAAGTTTCAACGATAAGCTGTTGAATGTTTCTTATATGCGAAAACTTGTTCTTAAATGATGTCTCGATTCTTAGAGTTGTTTGCTGAAAATCATTTGAAGAAAATTTTACTAGAATTTTACTCGAACCCGCACCATCCGCTAACCGGATAGCGGATGGTACGGGTTCGAGTCCGTGTGTTGCCTGGACCGTGTGGATTTTTTTCTAGTAAAATTTTCCTTAGAATTGAACATCTAGCAGTTAAATGCCTAAAAATGGCCGCTAACCATCAGGCGAGCCATATGCTTGTTTGCCATCCTTTTAACATAAAATATATCATAAAAATCATTACTAATATTTTTATTTCATTTTATTTAGGTATAAACCTACAATATGTCTATACACAATTAAATAACAACAATTCTTCTACATTATTCACAGATTCGCTAAAGCCGCTACATTTGGAACCGCATACTCCGTTCGGACGTGGTAATATTTTAAAATTTCAAACAAAGCTCCACAGATTTACGGTGGGATTGTGTAAATTGGAAAGTTCGGGAAGACATATTGCATTTGGCTCCGAATTAATGTTGTCTCTTGAGGATTTAAAGGTTTTGAGCTTTTGGATATAGTAAAAAAAATATACTAAATCTATAAAAGAATATCTATAAGATGCCTTATAAAGACTACTTAATTTTGTTTCATATTAATTTGTCACGATCTCGATTAGATTGTTCCAGTCTGGTAGAACTGAACTCATTATTCTCTTAACTGATACTTATTATACGAACGTAAAAACAAAGGAAAAGAACAAAGCTAAAATAAATGTTTTGTTAATGTCAAAATAGAGTGTTCCTGAAATAGAATATTCCATGAAAGGCAGAAGCTGGGTTGTATCCATTGGCGACGATGATCACTTAAAGCCTTAGGCGCTTTTATATCTAGCGATAATATCGGATGCGTTACTGCGATATTTTGTCATACTTCTATTGCGTCGTCATTATCGCAGCAGAGTGTAACTTCGTAGCCGTCCTAATACAAATTATACTAAAACAGATATTGCAATAACGCATCCGATATTATCGACCGATAAATAAAGCGCCTATGGGAGGAAGGGCTACAATTAGGTGGCCCGTTGGCTCGCACCGCCTTCGACGGCAATAAAATATATCCATTAATGTTAACTTTATATTTGCACCAATAGTAAAAAGACGCGGCGACGCTTGAGTAGGGTTATTATATCCTACCCTAAACTAATATTGTGTTATGGCTAACGCTCTATTTTAACATAAATACCTGATCCAAGACTCTATTCAATGTGTTAATTTAAGACCAAACTTATTCTACATTGTATTATTTATTTCGAAGTAAACGCGAATTATAATCAACCTCTTAAAATATGCCAAGCTAATCGGGATCATTTTTATTCAACGTTTTACATGTGAGTCTATTCACATACCATTTCAAAATATCTTCGCAGTGCTCAGCGATTACACAGTTACTTGAACTCTCACACCACCCGCAGGAGTATTCAGGTGAAATATCGATACAATCATCACACTCACTCGCTAGCGCTTCACATCTATACACAAAAACGGGAATCTCGTTTGAAAACGGATTAACTCCTCCCCAGATCACTCTGAATATGCCTTTGTTCATATTTCCTTTGTGCGTGGTGTTCATTGTAACAGGATAGCAAAATATTTCACCGTTCAATATCAACGCTTTCAAGTGCGTCAATCTGTTTTTGAACTTAATTTGGCATACCAAATCCTTTTTGTACAATACTGGGTCAGCAATGTGGACCTTTACGCGCAAATTCTGTCTTACTCCTGCGTGCACTAGAATTGAGCCTTTATGATGGATTCGAGGACAGAAATCCTCTAAATCTGTTAGATCTTTTAAATCACTTCTTTTAACAGCATCGGGACAAAAAATTTCTGGTTGATTTGTGCAGCCGTAATCGTGGCACCATCCACAAGGATACCATGTGCTTCGAAAGCAGTCGGAGCAAGTACGGAATGAACGGCAGTAGCTGGTTGGTGTTTCTATAATCCTGTCCACTGGTGTATCTGCCAAATTGGTGAAGGAATTCAAGTAGTCCTGTAGTCTTCTTTTGTCACCCACAGTAAGGCCTGGCTTCTCGAAAATGGTCGCATTTATAAATGGGCCCGCTAAGGCCGCACCCGGATATTTATGAAATGCATTTTTACTATTCACATTCTTTAATAGAAATTGAAAGAATACAGAAATTACAATCCAATTTGCCATTTTTTATGCACATGGATTCATTACGGAGATAAAAAGACTGAAACATTATGTGAACTTTCTTCCTTATTAAATAGTGACTTATGTTGATATATCCTTACAGTTTATAAACAGTCTATAAAATTGAATACTCCTATGATGTGGAGATATCTGTAATAACAAAATAAAGTGTAGAAACATGACGTCTTTTGTTATATCTTACTTTATAAACTCCTATTCATTTGTAAGTATAATAGAATTTTTACTAAAATTACCTACATTCATGGATAAAATAACTTACTACTCTATTTTTATTTACTTTAACAAATTAACTTTAACGTTAATTTGTCATGCAATAAATAGTTTCGAGTTTATGAACACTGTGAAAATAGGGTTTCAAACGCTTAAATTCAATAATTATCGAATAAGATATTTATACATTATTTTTTCTTACAAATTTTGCCTCGCAACTATTGCAATACAGATTTTATTTATATTTTAATTGTAAGATTTCATTTGAAACATATTTTTATGAAAAGTTTAGCTGGTATGAAAGAGCCCTTGCTGGCCAAGGCCTCATTTCTTTGTCCTGTGGAGCTCTGTCAACCTTACTATCGACTAATCAACTGGGACACGACGCATGTCTATAATGTAGAAATTGTAGAATAGTTTTATTGGGATACTTTTCCTTAAAGCGACACTTACAAGCCTGGGATGCATGTTCGAATCAACGGGGACGGACTGGCAGAGTTTAATAGGTTACGGTGACACTCTGTGTCACGGAACGCTAAAAGGGCATTATACGGTTTGAGAATCCCTCCATTTTAAAAGTTGATTGAAAATGTATTAAAGTTAATACTGACTCTTCAAGTACTAAGCAGCGAAGTGGATTTAGTCACACTGGTCGCGTTTTGCTGGAGTTAGTATAATGAAAAAGTTTTTAAAACTAATAAGTACTTGCCTTGATTTTTTTATTCCATCCATCTTTATTACATTAAATTTCCATTTCTTCCATGATTCTCCTCTTCAGTGGGGACATTGATAGGCTGATAATGAAGAATATTTTTATACTAATGGCCCCGGCAAAATAGCCCATCGATAGGCAAGTTTGACAGAATAAACCTAGTTGGGATTGATGTGTAGGATATTTTTTTGTGGATTGAATAGGGAGACTGGACCATGACTCGCCTAGAGGCTCCAGTGCGGATTGGTGGATAGGATTTTTTTTTGATAGCATAGAAAGATTAGACCACCACTCGCCAGTGCGAATTGTTGGGTAGGATACCTTTTTTTTCATGGAAAAAAATACTGGGCCATAAGTCGCTACGCAGGCCAATCCGCACTGATTGGTGGTAAGTATACTATTATTATAGCCTTTTAATTCCTTAATGTTGGGTAGGATACCTTTTTTTTCATGGAAAAAAATACTGGGCCATAAGTCGCTACGCAGGCCAATCCGCACTGATTGGTGGTAAGTATACTATTATTATAGCCTTTTAATTCCTTAATAAATATACAAGTCAATTATTTAAGGCATTTGTTATAATAAGTCAATTAATTTGATTATAAATATGTCAATTATTATAAAAAAAATATATTTTAATTATAGAACGAAGAAAAGGCTTCATGCATTTTACTCCTGATTTTTCTATATTTGGTGTTGGTGATCCAGTCTCTACCAGTTACGTTGTTTACATTCATCTTTGTTCTGTCTTCCTCTATTTCTTTTTTGTCGAGATCCCTTTCAAGTATATACCTTATAAGTCCATTTATTATTATTTATGCGTAGAACGTGTCCAGCTCATCTCCATTTAAGTTTTTTACAGTGTTACAAACATTAATAACTTTATTTCTTATTTTGTCTTTTCTTATCTTATCCTTTATATTTACCATACTTTGCTCCAATGGCCTCTCACATACCTGTATTTTATTTTTTATGTATTTATTAATTAATGAATTACTTTATTTGTTCTCTCACGTAGAATAACATAACATAATAGTGAAAAGTAAGGTGTACGGCAAATTCACAGTATAAGTACCTACTTATAACTCTATGTAAGAGACTGGCTTCTCCGCTAGGTATATATATATATATATATATATATTATATATACAGGTTTGGCATGGCAACAAATATGAATCCACCTGTGATGAAAACACAACATCATTTTTATTTTGGTGGGGCCAGTTCCTGGAAATCCACAATAATAAGGAGCTAGGAAACTTGGACAAATTTCAATACTTATTACAGTCGGTGGCAGCTGGAACTAATGCAACATAGCTTATTGAAAGTGTGACAAACTATTATATAGCGTTTGAAGCTCTGAAAACACGTTTTGTAAGCGAAATGTCTTGCGAAACGTGTTTTCAGGGCTAATAGAAAATTATGTGTGAGGTATCCTCAACATAGTAATTTTGCGAAACAGACGATAGAACCAAGGTATCAATGATTTGTATGACATCTTCATAGTCATCTGCAAGTACCAAAGACATTGGGCGTCGCTAACGATAAATATGCTTCTATTTTTTATTATCCGATGATAGAATCAGCACTGCCTGAGGATATTTTACGAAAATAGAACAGAGTACGATGTAAATCTTTTAGCAAAAGTGGCGATTAACTCAGCTGATGTAGTTTTTGATGAGATGAGATGCAGGAGATGATGTAGTGTCTGAAGAAAGAATCTTGATGGCTAGATCTGGTTTTCACAATCTGAGTCAAGGCCTCCAACTGCCTGCTTCCTAGCTGAAACTAAAGTGGTGAACAAAAATACAAAGGAGCCTAGAAAAGCAGTTAGGGTCATAACATGCATCTGGTGTGAAAAATACACACATGCCATTTTAGAATGTCACAAGGCAATGATAATGCCACTTGTGGAAAGAAAATATTATATTAAATTTTAAAGAGGTTGTAAAATATGTCAGAAAAACAATAATTCTTTTAAGAAATGCAGAAGCTGCCCAAAATATCTAGTTTACAAAAAGAGACATGAGACACTTATGTGTCCAGAATCAGAAAACGAATCGAAGGGAAAGAAGCAAGATAAAGATGATGAGAAACTCGAAAATATGATTTGTCAAAAGAAAACTACTATCATATTACAGACACTAGTGGTTACAGTCATATTAAATGGTGCTAAAAAGGTAAACTTCAGAGTCTTATTAGATAGCGGAACTCAAAGGTCATATACCAAAGAATTTATTTTGAAATTGGAACTTAAACCTATCGGTAAGTATAGTCACATTTGGTGGTTATGAAACAAAGACCGATTAGTTTAATGTTTAATATTCGCGTTAATTACTATTTCGTATGAATTTATTAATATGAATGTTTTGGAACAAATTAATATTTGCGGAATGCTACCTAAGGTAAAAACAGAATCTTTTGTGTAGAAATTGCTAAATCTATGTGTATATATGATACCCAAAGTGACTGACTGACTGACATAGTGATCTATCAACGCACAGCCCAAACCACTGGATGAATCGGGCTGAAATTTGGCATGCAGGTAGATGTTATGACGTAGGCATCCGCTAAGAAAGAATTTTGATCAATTCTACCCCCAAGGGGATAAAATAGGGAATGAAAGTTTGTAAGAAACTAACTTTGTTAATTTTAAACCGATCGAGCTGAGACTTTGCATGCAGGTATAAGAAGAATCATAGATGAATGTCATTGTGTATAATATAAGCCTGAGAACAAAAACTGTAGTCTATACTTCAGCTCTACACTGAAGCGAAGCAAGGGCGGGCCGATAGTAAGAATATAACTTTGATTGAGACTTACGATACTCCTAATAATATCTCTATACTTATAGGTGCAGAATATTCGGGGACTATAATGACAGGTGACGTGATACAAATCGACAACAACTTGACTGCTATTAAGACCAAGTTGGGTTGGAATATTCAAGGGCCGTTGACAGGTGTTAATAACTCGGTTGTAAAAACAACAGTACTTCATTGTGATAGATTTATGGAGTCTGGAAGCTCTCGGAACTAAAGATCCAGTCGAAGCTGTTTCACAGCAAGTGAGAGTCACTGCTACATTAAAAAAATGTAACAAAAAAATCCGTCAATGAGGAAAGCCGATAAGAGGTAAGATTGCCTTGATGAGATGATTTATTACGACCCATGTGTAATTTCGATATTGCTAGAAAGTGTTTGATGTCTACAAATTTTCGTTTAAAATTATTATGCAAAACTGAGGAGTATAATCTCATATTTAAAAATGGTTGGATTTTTAATTTAAATGAGCTTTATTAAAATGAAGAAACCAAAGATGCGACCATCCGGTGTATCGACACAAACTTCTATGGTATTTCAAAAGTGATTCACGAATCAAATGTGAAACATCGAAATTATTTTGAAGAGTAGAAAAAGAAACAAGTATTTTATGCAAAAGAAATAAATGTATTTTTTTATATGTAAACATTTTCTCATAACCTAGGCTGTTACATTGAAAGTTAACCAATACAAGAAATACATACTTTTTATGTTTAGGCCATGGTCTAGTCATTATTATTATATTTAAATTCTCTAAAAAACAACGTCAGTAGGTTCATGTTGTTTACAAAAATATTTTCATGATCTATATTTTTAATTAAAGCATTATGCCGTCTTCATATCCGTATTACTTCCATTTGAAGTGCGATTTCTTTGATTGTCATCTGTAAAATCTATTTGTGGTTATCTTTCTGGTTCTGGAGCTGCTGGTGGTGCATTTGTTGGTGGTGCAGCTGCTGTTGGTTCATCTGTTGGTGGTGCATTGGTCGGTGGTTCATTTGTTGGTGGTGCATCTGTTGGTAGTTTATCTGTTGGTGGTGCATTGGTTGGTGGTGGAGTTGTCGTTGAGGTTGTAAGATATAATGTAGATGGACTTGCTGTTGGTGATTTAGGTCTCCCTCGAATCATCTGGTTCTTGCAACCGACGTAAATGTTTACCGATATAGGAAGATTGTATGGAGAAGTTAAGCGAGCCACAATATACTTTTTGTTTAGACCACCCCTGATGATTTCAACTCTTGGTCCACCACCGTATCCTAAACGGTCAACGATTCTGAAGTAGGTGATCTAAAAAAGTTAAGCAATTAAAATAGGGCACAGTATTAATTTCTTCGGAAGCATCTTTTCAAATATCTGTGCTCGTAGAAAGGTTTTATTAGAAATCAAATAAATGCTTGCAAATGTACACAAAAAACTCACTGGACATCTAAATAATCTTCCATACTTGGCAACCACCCTGCGGAACTGGACTTTCTCTTGATACAATCGATCCTGAGCTACTAGGTGATCGTTCTTTTTGAACATTCCTATATAATAATCTCTACAATGACTCAAACATAACACTAAAAGTAGAAAAAATACTCTCAGCATGGTATTCATTTTCCTCACTCCTTAAGTTAATATTTTATGATTATAAACTACAAAATCCAAATATATTGTTTTAAACTTTCATGGTCACTAACATTATAGTAATATAAGTTATTTACGGGATTGTTACCATGTACCTTGTTTTTAGCGAGTTTCCGATAGATATTTCGGCACTGTTGCAAGCGCCATGATCACGGAGTAACTGATCCTCGGAATGTTACTCCGTGATCATGGCGCTTGCAACAGTGCCGAAATATCTATCGGAAACTCGCTAAAAACAAGGTACATGGTAACAATCCCGTAAATAACTTATATTACTATAAAATCCAAATGTACGTTATCGCCAATTGTGAAATTATTTTGTTAATGGGCAATATAAATTAATGTGTTTACATAAAGCAGCACAGTAATAAAGTAACAGAGACTCATTATTAATGTTCATTTGAGCATAATATTAATTAAAGTTTAGTTATGTATATGTCAACGAAAATGTCTATAATCCGTCATTATATACAATCCTTAAGAAATCTGTACATTTCCTAAATAGCAAATTGGAAATTTATTAAATTCAAGATGACAATAAGTCAATGATGGTACGCAGGGATAGCGTTTATACATAGATATCCATAATTTTTATTGTTATGAAAGATTCGGTGTTTGTGATCAGTGAGTTAGGTTAGATAAGTGTGGTGACCTAAACTTAGCCAGTCACCTAATAGATAAAAAAACAAGGAAAACACGTTAAAAATAGGACGTCAAACGGACTAGCTGTAAGTGTCGTTCGAAATATTAGAAAATAGTTATTTCGATCTATATTTTGCTTTATTTTTGTAATAAGATCTACATCAGCAGTGACTGACATTTCTTTATTCACAGTAATATCGAAGGTAGTTGTAATCACAACCTGGCGTACTATTCCGTAGAACAAAGTCTATTTTCACTGCGGAATTCGCCAGTGTCTTTTGAAATACGTGTTCTAATTTTAAATCACACCGCGGATTCCGAGGTGATGAGTGAGTTTATTCTTACTTAATAGCACAGCTGATATAGTTGTCCAAAGAATATCGTATAAAATCTAGTGTTTATATACATATGTATGCGCAAGAAAAATATTTTCATTTGTGTTATTCTGGTCTGTCAAACTGGACTGGAAGCAAAAGGAAAATACAAAATGCTGCCGAATAGTTGCTAGTTTTCCCGTGCAGGTAGTTATGCCATATTACAGCATTTTTCACCCTTTTACAATAATTTAGTAATCGACAAAAAACGATCGTGGTTTTAGTTCCGGAACGTTCGTGACAATATTAATCCATAAGATCAAAGGAACTCTTTGGAGGCTTTAAGAATTGATTTACTTTTTATGAACATAAATTAGGCTTAAACTCGACACAATACATATAAGTAATGGAGGCGTTGTTTTATCGCAACTTAGGCTAGATGTTTCCTTGTTTATTCGACGTCTTGATCGATCGTTCTTCGCCGTCGATCCATCAATCAAATCCCTGGTGATCGAAGATTACTCGCTTGATTTATATCTTTACTCCATAACAACACATAGTTGGTATACAGCTTAGTGAGTTGTTCCGAGATTTTTATTAACGTTTAAAGTGAAACACAAGATCGGTATAAAAAACATTGTATAGGTCATGTTCAAAGAAGTAAGTATTAAATCGTAAAGCTTATATGATTTTGATGATGAACTGAGCCGGAGATACTCAGAATAAAAATCGCAAACACACATAATTTATATAATTTCTTAATGATGGTTAATGTAGTTTTGATTGGTTACTATTATTTCATTACAATAGCCCCGTCATAAAACATCCGTTTGTTCATAACGACTGCCACACCAGACAGTGGCAAATCTGATATCATACCAAATGATCTATCTCTCCTTAGTTTTTTACATTATTATGATATTTCATGAAATATGCGCTGGTAATAATTTTAACAAAAAAGATAATGAAAATTATGTAAGTATTGTTTAACACATTATAATCATTAATCTACTAATTGATAAGTTCAATTCAAACTAATTGTTAAATTATTTACAGTATAATTTCAATCAAATGCATTATGTTTTTATATAAAATACTTGCATCTTAACTCAAATTAAGGTTTAATCCTGTTTATTGCATTACTCCATCTGTTTCAACTGAACGAAGTCAAATACAGGTAGAATGATGTTTTTAAGATAATGGGCTTAATTGTCTAATGACAAGTTTTTGAAAACGTTCATACGTTTTTTATTACTATATGTATAGTGACTCAATAAGAATGAATACATATAATTCTGTTGTGTATATCAGTCAAAACGGAAATTAAAATTTAATAATGTAATAACGGTCTCTGCCGAATATGGCGTCTTACTGGCAGCCACTGCCAGGATCTATTGAGCAATTCTTATTTTTTAAAAAACGATTGTTAATGTTTTTGTTCACTAATCATAATTTGATGCACAAAAAGAATTAATAGTAGCAAAAATCAATCTACCTACCTCCAGAAGTCATGATATTCAATGGCATTAGACAAATACAAAAGGGGCCGAATGACCGGAAATCACCTTGTGCAAGCAAAAGAGTTTTGCCATGCCGTTACCTTTTAATTTATAAACTTTAATTGATTATAATTTTGATTATTGAATTAATTTGATTGATTGAATTAATTGATTAACCGTCATTTATATCTTTTGAATTTGATTTAAGATATTTGATTCATGTCCAAATATCTTAAATCAAATTTAATAAATAATAGGCTATTTAACTGAATAAAAAATACCAATTACTGGCATGTGTATATAACATGAATATTGGGAGCAGTTTTACTACCCTGACAAAAGAGGAGTTGAAAATATTACTAAAGATCATGAAATAGTAAAACATTTTGTGATCTCACGTGACCGAAAACGCCTAGAATTGACCGAGCCTAAAATGACGTCACCTGCTTGTAAACATTCTGTCAAAGTGACGTTATCGTGTACTGTTTGACGTTTTGATGAGAGCCACGAGAAGTCACTCTCTCCTCTACGATTAACTTTAAATTCTTGACTATAAACTAGAATCATCGTCTGAACACTAGGTTTGTTCTAAGGTCACAATTTACTGAACAAATAAACTATGTAGAACCATAAATGTACCTACTAACGACAAATTCTTTCAAAGCGATATTTAAAGTTTTTCCACATTGTAAACAGAACATTTGATTAGTATATACATATGAATCGCAAATTTTTAAACAAAAGTATAAATAAGTTTAATGATATAAAAAATAAAGTTGATCTTACATTAAAAGACAGATATGAAATATCGAATGCCCAGTTAACTCAACACCTATTTCAAAATGATGACTTAATCTAAAATAATTATTTTTTTCATTTCAAAAATTCTTAATTAAATCAAGGCTTAACCATATTTAATCGACAGCATTCAGTTTAAAGTTAAATACAGATAGAATGGAGTTCAAACATAATTAGATTTTTGAATTTGAAACTTGGGTGCAAGTGGGCTTTAGTTAAAATATAACTTTTGTGTTCCTTTGAATGAATAAAAAAGTGCATAATAATTAGCACTTTCTTATTAACTAGTTTGTGCTGTGTTTACAGAGACTTTTTAAACCCTAAGGACTAAAAGCGATTTGAATTAGGAATGTGGACATTGTTAGTAAATGTTCCAATCATCAAATATATCAACTACGAACATCTTATGAACATCTTAAGTCACGGACTGTATAAAAAATTAACGCGCGCTTGTTAAATAAAAAATATCCTGCCAAGTGCGAGTCGGACTCACGCACGAAAGGTTCCGTACAACAAACAGCGGAAGGAAAATTAATTTGTTTGTTTTTATCACAACTTTTAAAGTACAATAATGAATCGGCGTTTTCAGTATTATTTAAATACAGCATACAGGACATTACATAACAAAATTTTACATTCCTAGTTTCGATTTTGTGATAGATCCCGTAACAAAAATAGTCTAAACATAAAAACTTGGACGGCCCCCAATTTCTATGTTTTTGATTTTTTACTTATATCCTACACAACGAGCTTCAGATAGTGATGTATCACATACTGGGGTGAAAAAAGGAAATAAATCGGCTTTGGGCAAGCATTCTACATAAAACAAAATACCAAAATTTCAGTTCTTTAACTCGTTGCGTTGACGATCAAGAGACCCGTGACGTACAGACAGACGACAGAGTGACAGCAATAGGGTTCCATACTTACTCTTTGGGTAAGGAACCCTAAAAATACGAGAAAAATATTTCCGTCCTCATTTATAATTGTTTACTTACTCAAATTCCGATTTTATTTAGTTCTATAAAAAAAAACTTCATCCACCACAAGTAGTGAGATTGAAAGTAAATATTATAATTAACTCCCGAGATAGTTCTCGGGGTCGATATAGTTATCGAACCTTAAAAAAGTGATTGGTTGCTTTGGCTCCTAAAAATATAGGATTTACCTGTGTATACTGGCTCCCACACAGGTAAATCCTATATTTTTAGGAGCCAGGGTCCCTTATGATTTGTATTCTGGTATTTATCCAATAAAGATTATTATTATTTGTCTTGCTTTTTCATAGAGGATTATAAAAAGTAGAGTGTGCACCTCGGGAGCAACACTATTTTAATGGCCGAGCGATGAATGCACTCGTCTTTAAAATAGTTCTTTGCTTCCATAGTTACCAATCTACTACTATGATTCATTTATTTACCTTTGTTCTTGAAGGGTCCATATACGATGAAATTTAACTTTAAGTCTGCATTGCTTCGAAATCCCATACAAGGTCTTTCAAAGTTATTGATGAACCCAATAGCATGAGGATTTTAATAAACTAAGACAGTTCCATTTGCAACATAAAAGTGGCAGGTAAGTATTACATGGTGTAGAGTGTAATTCTAAAAGTTTTTCTCCTGTCGCGATGGCTTTCAATCCATTATAATAAAGAGATAATTTATGCTACAATGACACTTTTCTTTAGCTTTGAAAGAAGGCACGTCGTAAGGGTCTACTAAGGGATTGGCTGTGCTTGGAGAATATTGGGCAAAAACCTGAAAACCCATTTTTAATAATATGCTAAAACCTTCACCAAAGGGAAAAGAATACGGACCAAAACTTTCCTTCTAAGGTACCTGCAATTTTTTACTGTCTTTATTTTAGATGAAAAAACTACTTAGAAGTTCAGCTTCTTCTTGTGGTACTACCAATTAAAGAAGAGCTTGCTTCAAATATTCGAATTTGTAGCACTATGTGATGAGTTTCAGCTGACAGTGATTATGAGAGGTACATTGCTGTATTATTAATCTACAGATGAAGTCTCCACACAAATGCTGACTATGGTAAAAAATGTTTTCCTGTCTAACGGATAGCTTTCATTTCTTCCAAATTATCGTAATTTATTCAAAAAGCAGTCGTTCAGAAGTTTGCGTACATACTTTTCGGCGATTCATTTTTAATTAGGTAAGTATATATATAGATTATACTTATAAGCTTTTGGGTTTTTTTATTTGGTCATTAAAACCCTAAATTAGGCTAAAGCGACGATACGATACACTCCGACTGTAAGCGGTACGAAATTCGCCGGGTTCAACTGATCGTGTGATATCATCACTACATAGTATAAAGCAAAGTCGCTTCCCGCTGTCTGTCCCTATGTATGCTTAAATCTTTAATCTTTCGGTTTTTAATGTAAGGTCGTAAATAAACACATTTTTTTGGGCTTACATAGCAAACGCTGGTTTAACCCTACGAGATAGATCAAAATAATGTACTACAGTATTGTACACCTTAAAAAGGTCTACAAAAAAGTCTGCAATGGTATATGTCTATCTCTTAGGGATAACCCACAATAACCATTTTTTATTCTATACTTTTTACGAGAAATAATAGCTTATTTGCGAAGCGAGTTTCAGCAATATAACATCCATCCTTAACCAATTAAGTACCTTAAATACATTGTGCATTTAATACAAAAGTAATAATAATACGGCTAATCCTATTTAGTTGTTAACATAATTCTTAATTTGTGTGTACACAGTAAAAGAAAATAAAACGAGTACTCAATTTACTTACTAAATACCAGAATCATGCAAAAAATCATGCCAGTCCTAATATTTCAAGGCGTCCTTAACTATTTAGTACTCTGAATCAGGTTTGGTCACTATATTTTTTAAATTGGTTTCAAATAATAATAATTGAATATTATTAACTTTGGTAAAATAGCAATGAAAAAATTTAACTATTGTTAATTAGTTATACTTTGATGGTTTGCAAAATAGAAACATTCCTTTACAGTACAGTGTTCAGTTGGAAGTATTGGAATAATTTTAAACTGAATATTTATACTATGACCTTAAAAGGCAAAAGTATACAAAATATTTTTTATTATTATTTGTATTCTCAGGATAAGCTATTAATAACTGTATTGCCATGATAAGCTCTAAAAAATTGAAGTCGGAAATTAGGGTAGTGATTTGTATTGAGATCAAGGTAATTCAATTTTATTTCATTTGAAATGTAGAGAGATACGTAAAGAGCTTTTTGGGTCAGTTCAGTCCTCTTTATAGATTGTTGTTTGTGGGTGCAAGCTTTGAAAGATTTTTAATATGGATTGCGAATAGATTTTTTATTAATATATTGGATCATTTTAGCCAACAACTATCTATATAAATCATATATTCCTCTTCCCCCTGGGTGGGCGTTTGAGAGTGGTCGTGTGTCTGGTTGAGCAATAAATATTTTAAGAGAAATAATAAATAGTGAGATAAATAGGGCTTCGGACCAGTATCTGTGATTCGTCGAACTTGCGCCCCTCGGGTTCAAACTGCATTGCGTTGTTAAGTTGCAGTCTCGGCCAAGCTGTTAGTAAAGTACGTGGCGAAAATAAACACCCAATACAGAGCTGTGCTACGAAGCTGCAACTACGGCGGACTACGACGTATTACAACTTGGACTTGAGTGCTACGATTTCTTTGAGGCGTTACAAAAAGTACCAACATGAGTGAGAACCAGAATGTTAATATGGTTGACTCAGAGATGTCAGTTTGTCTCTCTGAGGATGATAAAACACCGCCTAATTTCATTACGCGGCGTGTACAAAAGACAACACATCAATCGGACAGTTCACAATACGATCAGTTAATGAAAAAACATAAAGAAGAAATACGTATTAAGTTGGTAACACTTGCAAACAAATTCTATCTTTACTGAAACATGTAAAGGAAGACGAGTACATAATGTTTTTAGAGAATAAGTTTGAGGAACTGCAGGTGTCATCGCGGAAGTCAACATTCGAGATAAAAAATGTACCTAGAAAGGAAAAAGAATCTAAAAAAGATTTGATTGACATGGTTATAAATCTGTCGGAAGTTGGGGACTGTACAATTTTTAGAAGTTATATAAACGACATATACATGGTGCGTACAAAGAAGCCAGAGCAGAAAAATACCCCAATCATAGTGAACACCAACTCTGCTTTGTTGAAAAATGACCTACAGAAAAAAGCGAAGTCTTTTAACATCAAGAATAAAACTAAACTGTTCGCTAAGCATTTTGGCCTAAAATCAAATGAGGACACGCCAATATTCTTTCTGAACACCTGACACCCAAAGGATCGCGGTTGTACTTTTTAGCAAGAGACCTAGGAAAATCTAAAGATTTTAAGTTCTGTTGGACCTCCTGAAGAAAGAACAGGCTCCAGTAATCCTGACTAAGGCAGTAGATCAAATTCATCAACTACTGCAGGAAAAATGACTATCTTTAAGTATTCATGTTTTTATGTATTGTCTTTATTGCTTGATTTTTGAGAAAATAATGTTAAATCCAACCTATTTTCTAATGAGTTTACGTAGAAAATGCATGTTTTTGTCACATTTGATAGTTTTATATTATAACTTTCACTATTTGATTATATATGTATTTAAATGTAAGCCACTCACACATCTACTCACATACTCGTACTAGCTATACACACAAACTCCTATACAACTTACTCTTTATTACACTTGTAGTAAAATCATCAAACTTTTATTTAAAATATAATGTAAACTCGGAGGACCTCATTCTTTATACTCAAATTTATATACAGATATTTGGAATTAAATATGTGAAACACAGTTCTGTTTTTAAAACTCGACGCAAAGAAAAAAATATTTTATTTAATAAAAATGCTATTTGCCTTAAGCTTGTTTCGTTGCATAATTACGTCTATTGCTTTACTTTTATAATTAAATGGGTGATACAATAAAAACATTACAACAGATAGACGGCTTAGGTATGGCACAATCATTTGAGTCGGGCATTATGGGGCAAGAGAAACATGTTCTTGTCAAAAAGAATGACTTTACCATGATTTCTCAAAATATTAGGATGGTATACCGTAACTCTGACGATTTCTTGTCAACGTTGCATAGTCTTAAATTTGATACAGATGTTATTGTTTTGACATAATGTAGAATATCCACAAACGGGCCTTTACCGGTGTAACCAAACTACTGTTCCTATTTAACACAGTGTCGGCTGAATCAAAATGATGGAGTTGAAGTCTATGTGAAAAATGCTCTAAAGTATAAAATAAAAGACATACGTTTAACTCATGCATCATGTTTACAGCTCGATATCCTTATACCTTACATAACACAATTTTATGTATCTATAGATCTCCGTCTAATCTAAATTCTGATTTTTTCATAAATTCTCTGGGTGCACACTTAGATACACTAAGTGCTACTAAGAGCATTATACTCACGGGTGACATAAATATAAATATTGCTCTTAAGCCATGTCATGAACAAAAAAACCGTACAAGTGACTTAGATATGATGGCTAATTATGGTTTACTGGCTAGCCATACAATACCTACTATAGAAAAGAATTGTTTAGATCATCTAATGTTAAATATAAACAAAGTTAAATTTCATGCATCTATAGCAATTTTACAAACCACTACTACTGACCATTTTACAACACTCCTTATGCTCTCCAAAATTAAATTACAGTATCAATCAAATAAAACTAAGATCTCTATACGATTCGATGATGCTCTTAAAAATCTTAAAAAACAAAAATATGGCAGAGTTATTATTATGCAATGATCCTACGATTGTAATCGATCGTTTGGTATATATACTAACACAGATATTAGATGAACACACTAGAGTAATTACTGTTCCTAATAAATCACGAATAGTGATTATAATCACATTAATAGCCAGGTATGTTAAGGTGCATGAGAAACCAGAACAAGCTCCAAAAACTAGCACACCGTGATCCACTAAAAAATATAAATAAAATAATTTATCGGAGGTACAGAAACTACTGCAACAACTTACTAAAAAAATTGAAAAGGAACTATGAAAGAGAATTATTAGCAAAAACGGTTAAAAACAACAAACAGTTATGAAACACGATTAAGAAAATAACTTATAACAATAAATGCAATAGTTTGAATACAGAACTCTTGAATATTTTTACTAACCCAATTACTTCCGCCGACTACGTAAAAAAATATTTGGCAAACATAGGTAAAAAAATAGCCTCACAGATAAAACCTATAGTAACAAACAAAACCGATACTTATCGGCTTAACTTACCATCTCACCTAGACTTTTTCGCCTTATTGCCCGCTGATTATGATGAAGTTAATGGTATACTAATGAATTTGAAATCAAAAAGTGCTCCAGGTTGGGACAATATACCAACTGGTTTTCTCAAATATGTTAAAACTGAAGTCATTCCCATTATGACTCATCTCGCAAATCTTTGTTTTGAAACAGGAATATGCCCAGATCCTTTGAAAAAGTTATCACACCTGTGTATAAGGCTGAAGACAGAGACGACGTAAACATCTATAGACCCATATCTGTGCTACTAGTGATCTCCAAGATATTAGAATAACTGTTAAACTCAAGACTGACTGGGTATTTAAACAAAAATAATATCATATCTCCATCCAAATGGTTTTAGACAGGGCAAATCCACTGAGGATGCTGTTATTGCACTAAGCTCGCTGGTAAAGAAATGGATGAACATAACCGGTATATTACTGTTTTTCTGGACTTAAAGAAAGCATTTGACACCGTCTTTGTCCCTATCCCTATACACAATTTAGAACAGACTATCTGACAAATAGGCAACAGGTAGTCAAGCTTGGTGTTTATACCAGTGACAGTACCAAGGTGTACTACGGAGTTCCGCAGGGAAATTTCCTTGGCCCCATGATTTTCTTAATTTATCTAAATGACCTGTGTAATATGACAATTAAGGTGCCAAGGTATTTTGCTATGCGGATGACACTGTCATTTTTTACTGGTAAATTCTGGGATGAAGTTAGGCTAGTTACTGAAGCAGGATTGGTAAAAGTTGGGAAGTGGCTACAAAGCAATCTCCGTACTCGGAATATTGCCAAATGTAACTGTGTATGCTTCAGCATCTACAATAACAGCCAGCCTGGTGTTGACTTTGAACTGAGGATTCATCGACGTTCCCCTACATCATCGGCGAATTGCCGCTGTCCCCTCATTCAAAAAGTAGCACAGGCTAAATACTTGGGAGTCCTACTTGATCAACGGCTCTCTTGATATCCACAACTTGAATATGTAATTCAAAGAATTAGAAAGTTAATGTGGATATTTAAGATCTTGAGACATGTTCTGCCAAAATCAGAATTAGGATCTACCGACAAAAACTTGTTAAAGGATATTTACCTAGTCAGATTATAAATTCTGTCACATGTTTAATATAAAATAATTAAAACATGTTTATTCATTTTGTAACCATTTAAGTACCAAAATCAACTTAACAAAACATAAATTCTTATGACAATAAAGTTTATTCAAAATGACCTCCGTGATTTTGAATACAGGCCTTCAATCTGCGCGGTCAGTCGTCTATCGCAGCACGAACGAGGTCCATGTCAATATCGGCGGCTGCCTTAATCAAGGATGTCTTGAGTGACTCCAAATTGGGATGAGACTTTAAGCACGCCTTTTCCTCCAAGTGTTGCCATATCTTGTAATCTAACGGACTCAAATCTGGACTGGAGGAGGGCCAGTCTTCGTGCCGGATGAAGTCGATTTCACGCGCCGCCAGCCAGTCTTGTGTGCTCTTCGCTCTATGAGCTGGCGCCGAATCTTGTTGGAATACCCAGTGCCTGTTATTGAACATGGTATGAGAAACAGGTTCCACAAGGTTCGTCAGGACTGTATTTTGATACACAACTGCATTCGTTTTTATACCTTTCTCACAAAAATGTACCTCTGTTAAGCCCCAATAAGAAACTCCCAACCATACCATGAGCGAGAATGGAAAATGACCTCGTTGGACACGCGGATTACGGTTGCTCGCTTCTTCACTACTGTGTGCGTACACCTTATCATTTTGTTTGTTGTAGAGGTACATTCTTCTACGGTAAATATTTTTTCATCCGAAAAAAGAATTTCCGGATATTTTTTCCCCGCGTACCGCTTCAACAAAGAGGGGCATCTCTTCAGTTTCAGGTCCATTAGACGAGCATTCAAACGATGTCCTGTTTTTCTTCGATATGCCCGAAGCCCTAAGTCTTCATTTAACACCCTTTTCACCGTGGTTCTGCTTAACCCCATCTGAAAGGCCAACAGTTTCTGCTTACTTTTGGGATTTCTTTAAATTCGCGCCTTCACAGCTTTTATCACTGCTGGAGTCCTAACAGACCGAGGGCGACCACTTCTTGACCTGTCATCTACACTAGAGTCTTCATTGTATCGTTTGATGGTACGATAAACGAATCTTTTGGTTATATTAAAATTTTTCAGTATGTCAAAAAATTGAATTGACGCGTAGCCGCAACGATGCAAAGCAAAAACTGCAACAAGGTCTTCTTTAAGCGTCCACTCCATATTTAAAAATGAGTAAAATTCAAAAAAGTCTCCATTTTCATTTTCATAAACAATTCGAAATTCGAATTAAATAAACTTTTTTGTGGCCAGCATTCTAAAAGAAAAGTTTTTACTGTGTAACAAATACTTATGACCTGACTGTGTATATATCCTTAGCACAATCAGTTATTATGTACTGCATACCCGTTTGGGGAGGTGCTGTAAAAACTAGCTTCCTTGAAGTCGAACGGGCCCAGCGAAGTCTGATAAAGATTATGTTATTCAAAAAAAGGATTGAAGGTCTATATCGAAACAGTGATCTGCCTACAGTAAGAAAACTGTACATATTTCACACAGTCCTTAGAAAGCATAAAACGTTAATATTTAATTCTACAAACGCAGCAAACCGGAGGCAAAACTTCGACTTAAAAAAATGTAATACTACTTTTGCTGCGAGGCAGTATGGCGCACGTTCAGCTGAATTGTACAATTATTTTAATAAAAAGCTTAAAATATACAATAAGAATTATTATACTTGTAAGTTTTTAATAACAGAGTGGCTGCAAGCAAAAACCTATCAAGAAATCGAAAACTACTTATGGAAGAGCGGTGTCCCCTGACACAGGCCTTTTAGCTTAACAGAGGACCCCGATCACTGAAATCTTTTTGTACAAAAATTGTTAAGAACAATTAAAGATATATTATTTATTTACTATTATATTGCAGTACTTTGGACCTAGAACATCATT